GCCTGGGCTACAAAGTGAGTTCAAAGCCAGCCTGAATTTATAGTGAAACCCTGTCTCAAAAAGACAAAAATAAACAAATAAATAAATAAAAATTGAACAGTGCCTTGGGCAGTCTTGAAAACTGACTGATGTCCACGGGACAGAAGAGCTTCTCTGCAGCCTCTGTAACAATTCCCAACTAAGAGCACCCTATCTAGCTGCTGAAACTCAGGATCCCAAAGCTCAGAGAGCCTAACCAGACTGAGGAAGGGTGCATGACTTGGCAGGTCACTTTTGGTTTTTTTCTTTTCTTTTTTTTTTTTTATTAATTTTATTGAGAAACAAATAGCAGTGAGACAGTTTCAAAACGAATTAGTAGGACATCTTCAATAGTTAATACATTGCATATTGTTGTCTTCATAGTGGTTATTCATAGTTCAAAATGCAGACATGATATCCTGTCCAAACACTATTAGTACAAATCTTCCTTTTGGAAGGCTGCTTGTAATTCCAACTAACCTGTGAAGACACAATCCTACTAATGCCTAACTTACCTGTTGCTGTTGTTCCCTGGCCCTTCTTAGGCTGTTTTGGGGCTGTATACTGGAAGAATTCATTTCCATGGCCAGCAGCTGCCTGATCCAGTCCAAAAAGAGAGGCCAATCTGGCACTGTCAGCAGAAAGTAAAAATAAATTTTTATTTGACACATCCCAAACCTGGAATCATCATAAAGGTTGGTGGTAACCTTCAACCTTGAATAAATACCCCCTTACTATATATCCCACAACTTAATAAAGGAAGCACCAGCTAACTGTTTCTGAAATCAACACTGTTTTTGTGATCTGAAATTATTTAACTGATCCTATCTACAAGACTATGGTCAAGATTACCCCCATCTCAGTTTCTCCACCTGTAAAGGGAAATGATTCGTTCAGATACTCTCTATAGCTTTCTCAAACTATAAATTCTTCTACTTAACAAATCATAGTTTTCTGTCACCCCTAATGATCAGTGCTTCTCCTGCTTAATTTATTAGATTACAATGCAATTGTATTATAAACTCACCCATCAAACATAAACCCTTCTATCATTTTATCTAACATGCAGGACCTCCTTTTATCATCTTTTAAACAGTATACCTCCAAATTATACTAAAACTGGGGTGTTAATATGGCAGTAGGAGGGGCTAGCCAAATAGCTCCAGAGATTAAAGCACCTGCTTAGGCAGACAAAGGGGTCTGCTATGCTGGCCCCGCCCCTGGGTTGTGCTAAATCAGCGATTGAGATTGGGTGTGGTGGCTCGTGCCTCTAATCTTAGCACTTGGGAGGTTGTAAACAGGAGGATCACTATTGAGTCCAATCTATACAATGAGACCCTGTACAACCTGTCCTAAAAAAACCAAAAGGGCAGTGTGAGAGTACTTGCCTAGAATGCACAAGGTTCTGGGGTCTACCACCATCAAAAGAAAAGCAAAGAAGATAGCCAGGCATGATAGTGCATACCTGTAATCCCAGTTTCTCTGAGGGCTGAAGCAGAATCTCAAATTCAAGACCAAATGGGCAATATAGCAAGACCCAGTATCAAAACCAAAACCAAAGACTGATCTTGCTTAAGCAATCAACAACCTCTTTTTTACTAAACCCAGTTTACCAATCACTTATCTGACCTCATGCTATCCTTTTACACCATCAACTAATCTGTCATCAAACAAATTCTTCCTTTGACTTCTTTGCGGATGTGTCTCTTTCCACAGGTCCAACTAAGACATTTTATAACACCGATTGGAATCCTCTCTTGTTCTCTTCCCATTTCTCTGGCTTCTCATTTAACTTCTTCAGGTCTTCTTTATATGTCCAGTCTTTAAATGCTCATGTCCTCAAGGTTTCACACTCCCTTGGCAATTTCATTTATTTGTCTCGGTATCAAATACTATCCAAATGGTGACATATTAAAATCTGTATCCCCAGCCCAGAACATGGTCCTGATTACTGCACAGCACACACAGACCACATGCCCAAACTAAAACACATATCCTCCAAATGTGAGTTCTAACAACCTGTGTGAAGTATGAGCTAACTCATTAAAGACCCAGTGACTGAGGGTTTAGTGAGAACAGATCATGTATAAGACACCTTTTTGCCAAGCATGTACCAAAAGTCTAGATTCCAAGACTAAGGAAGTGTTCATTCTAAACTATATTAGGCAGAGTGTGCCATTTAATGAGAGCTTTATATCAGTGTGAGGAAGTGTTTACCAATAAATTCTCAGATGCCCATTTTTTAAGCAGGATTTTCTAAGGATAACAGTCTCAAACCTGGTATATTAATTTTTGCCTACAAATATCCACAAGCAAAGCTGAAATCTGAGCACTCTTGACCTCACCCCTCCCTTCATTTGACAGTCATGCTCTACATCCAGGTCCATTTGATTTTATTTTCTAAGTATTTCTCAAACCCATTCTTTGTGCCCCATTCTCATTACAACTTCCCTAGTTTAGGCCACCATCACACACAGCTGACCTTAAGTAATGAAGAAAAAAAAAAAAAAAAACCCTCTGGGCTCATCTCACTGTCTTGTTCTTCCCTGCTTCTTATCCATTTCCCCCATTATATCCAATCATCTTTTAAAACCAAATCTGACCATTCTCTCCTCCTTAAAATACTCATATCTCAATACTACCAAGATAAAAATCTAAATAGTATAATATACGTTTAGAAGACCTCTTTGCTTCCCCACCTTCATACCTAGCCATTTCTAATCTCCAGCTGTGTACAACAGCCACCCTAAGAAACTTTGCTTATATAAAGCAAGATTTTTTCCCTTAGCCTTTGATGTGCTATTTTTATGATATTCCTGTTCCTCCTCTCCCTGGAATCTAGTTTTAATCTAAATTGGGCATTCCTATGGTCCTCTAGATTTCATTCTAGAAATATATATCCAATACTATGCTAAGTGTTAGGTATACATTGATGGCAAAATTATATTCTATTTTCAAGCTTATAGTCTAATGAAGAAATCAAACATTAATATATAATTGTAAGTTGTAATATGAGATATAAAACAGGGCATGATAGTTAAGTCAACTGTGCCAACTCAACTGGCTTGGGAGCTGTCAAAGGGATTATCAAAGCACTCTTCTGGGTATATCTAAGCGGGTCATGGAGGGATGACACTGGGTAGTGTATCTGGTTCCTAGCCCCTTCCTCTCTGGCACTGTTCCCCTGCTTTGCTTCTGGCTGTAATGAAATAAGCATCACTTCTCTGCCATACCTTTCAATCATGATTTTTCGATCTTGTAGCCAGCTGACCAGGAACTAAAACCTCTTAAACCACTCTGCCTTTAAATTGTGAATTTGAGTATTGTGCTTTTATTACAGGAAAACAGACTAGTACACAAAGGAAGCTTTTGTATAGGAATAGACACTATTTAATCTATCATTAAGTAAAATGATGATAATTGATTATTCATTATAATCACTAAATGACTGTACATTTTTCCTTGTTTAGTATATAATATGCTTAATAAATACTATGGCTTCAATATGATCCCCTAAAAGTATATGTTAGAATCTTAATCCCTAACACAGCACTACTGGTATATAAGACCTAAAGCAAGGTATTTTTAGGTCATAAACTGATTGTTATGGTTTGTGTCTAATTGTCCCCTGAAAGCCTCATGAAGTTATGGGACAGACTTCTAGAGTTTGTGACTAACTCATGATCCAGTGCTGGGATTATGGGTGTGAGTACTATACCCACCCTGGGGCTGAGATCCTGAATGCAACACAAGGGAGACAGGCTTGCTCTCTGTTTTCACTGCTGCCATTGCTCCTGCCGATTTGCCCTTGCTGTTTTGCTGCCACCATGAAGTGTTGACCTCTGCCGTGGAGTCAGCTAAGTATGGACTGAAACCTCCACAACTGTGAGCTGATAAATAAACCTTCCTTAATTTTGGGCGTTGGGTATTTGGTCCCAACAATGAGAGAAAATCAACCAAGACACTGATTAAAACTGAATTATTGGGGCCGGGGAGATGGCACAGTAGAATAAGTGCTTCCCTGGCAAGCTCAAGGGCCTGAGTTCAATCTCCAGTTCCAGGGGAAAAAAAAAGAAAAAAACTGTATTATTATAAAAAGAGTTTAAGGCTGTGAGTTTGCAGGAAGAAGGCTTTCACAGATACTGGCTCCATACTGGAAGACTACCCACCACCCAAAAGGGTAAAAAATAAATTTCTTTTATTTATATATTTACCCATATATGGTATTTTGTTATAGCAACCTAAAATGGATTAAAGGACAAAGGAACTCAAAATCTAGTCTAACTCAACTCCTCTTCTCCAAAAATACTCTTAGCCTAGGTGATATAAACACTATGAATTCCCAATAACTCCTTTTGGTCTTTTAAAAAGAATTTTAGGGCCTGGGGAGATGGCTCAGTAGAATAAGCACTTGCCTGGCAAGCGTAAGGGCCTGAGTTCAACCCCCAGTTCCATAAAAAAAAAAAAAAAAGAACTTTAATGTACACATAAATACATACTAGCACTTTACAAAACAAATTCATTGTACTTTGAAAATACTGTCTTGTTTCCTCAAACAGTCTACTGAAAATTTCCTGTAAATGTGGTCCAGAATGGTTAAAGATTAATAGGTTTAAATGAGATTAAAGTACACTATTTGAGGAAAGCAGAGTTGGCTTAAATATCAACAAATGCTAAAGAACTTACAAGCTTTTTCTTCTTAGCCAGGACAATTTGGACAGATTTTCTGAAGTGGTAAGATTCTGGGAGAGCTGAGCATTACCTCTCATATAATGAAAATCTATAGCACTTAGAATCTATTTAAAATATAATTAGCAGGGAGATAAATCTTTCTCAAGTGGCAAAGGGATCAAGAAAGGAGGAAAGGCAAAAGAGAGAAAAAGAAAATGAAGATGTGTTATGTACATATACCAATCACCAGGAGGAATGTGATCACTATGTACCACAAACAGGTACTAATAAAAAATATGTAATTGCTTATGTGCAAATAATTGATAAAAAAACAAGAATGTTCAGTAAACTATGGACATGGGTTTGCTATTTTAATGTTACAAGCATGTTCTATGAGATCAAAGAGGATATCAGAAAGTGGAAAGATATCCTTTGTTCATGGGTAGGAAGAACCAACATAGTGAAAATGGCCATACTCCCAAAATTACTATATATTTTAATACAACCCCAATTAATACAACCCCAAAATGCCATTAGCATAACTCCCAGAACTAGAGAAAACAATCCTAAAATTCATTTGGAACCAGAAGACACCTAGCACAACAAAAACAATTTTTTTTTTTTTTTTTTTTTTTTTTTGTGGAACCAGGGATTGAACTCAGGCCCTTGCGCTTGCCAGGGAAGCGCTTATTCCACTGAGCCACCTCCCCGGCCCTCAAAAACAATTCTTAACAAAGGCAAGGCAGGGAGCATCATAATCCTTGACTTAAAATTATATGACAGGGGCTGGAGAGATGGCTCAGTGGTCTAAAGCACCTACTTGAAACAAGCTTGGCAAAGCACAGGGACTGCGGTTCGATCCCCCAGCACCACATGCCAGCCAGCCCCGCCCCCTGGTGGGCTGAGCTGGCCACACACACACACAATAAATAAATGTAATAAATAAAAAAATAAATAATT